TCTTGTGGATCCTGTTCTGATCCTGTTGCGGCTTTGGACTGCTCCCATCCTCATCTCTGTTTGATGATTCTTTGGCTTCGCAGCTGCCTCCTTTTGAACTGTTCATATAATTCATGAAGATATCACATCAATAGTAGTACCAAAGAACTTGAATTCAACCAGCTATAAGCATAATCTGAAGAATAGGAAAAAAACACAAAGCTATTTGCCTTTCTCCATTTGATTGGTTGGTTGGTTCAAGGAACCATTGTCCCCAAGATTCTCTCTGTTCCCTCTATATGCACCTATTTGATGTGGCTTGAAATTTTCGCCAGCTTCTCCTCTTCGTCTGCGACACTTTGGCAAAAGAAGCAAAATTGCTAATACGATAATTATAAATGAAAACACCCCGGCAATTGATATCCAAACGACCCTTTTAGTAGTTTTGCTTTTTCCTCCAGAAGTCGAACCCTCTGTTGCAGATGGCCCGTCAGCATGTTTCCCAGGTTTTTGTTCAGGAGATGTCCCAGAAGATGGCGCCCCGGGAAGTGGTGGTGCAGGGGCTGGTCTTAAGGGCGATGGAGGTGAAGGTAATGGAGAAACAGTAGTGTTAAATGGGTTTCCATCTTTTCTGCATATTAAATATCAACATTTTAACGAGAGCAATAATTTAACAGGTAACTTTCTAACTTACAGTTCTCAAAATAACAAGATATCAGTTGCAAGTAAATATATCTAGGCAAGGACATCATAGATGACCTTGTCTTCCTCAAATGTATTCATTTCCCTTTCAACACAGTAGAGATGTATGCTCTTGGTGCATCAGCATTGGAGATCTATAAAATATGCCAACCAGAATTTGACAAAAGAACAACTTTTTACGCAAAATTCATTTCAGTTTCCATTTCCATCTGGTATCAATATCTTTAATGAAATTGTCAGACTAGCAATAGCAGCAGCACAAAAAATCCGGATATACATTTTGTTATCATTTGAAATGTATTTTTCTCCCATTTATCTCGGTTAGTTTTCATCTAAAGGAGAACCCTCGCGCGTGTGTGTACTGCTGCAAAATGAATACAGTTCTGACAGGCGAGTTTACCATAAAATCTTGTGCAGAGAATTTAAAACACAAGTATAAGTAATTGACATGATGATTAACATGATTCAAAATTTATAAAGCTACATCTAGGGGACGGACAATGATCAACAATTCACTAAATATAAAGATTATGGATACAATGAATCATTGCCAAACTAGTATTGAACTCAAAAGAGAGTGCAAAATCTCAATCCAAATATTCACAAACTAAAAAGATACTACGTCCCAGTAAAAAATTATAATTGCGTACCTACAAGACAAAGACACCTCAAACTTCTCAAATATAAACTCTCCTCACGTTAAGGAAACTTCAAAAGTTATTGAATCAAAGCCAAGAAATCCCTAAAAATTGAATCCTGTTTATGGAGACAAACCATTACTTGTTCACAGGTTAATGATTAAATAGAAATTCCAAACAAATAAAAATCCTAACCCAAAGAGAACGCAAATAGACTCCCATATAATAATGCAAATGTTAAACAATTACAACCCTCATGCAGTAGGTGCAGTTCACTGTTACATCTAGGAAAGAATGAAAAATGAAAGTGCGAGAGCTACTCCCTCTTCATCAAGAACAATTCACATAACTATCTCCAAAATTTTAGAAAATAGGAGGCATGGTCAAGTATCAATATCTTTCCCTGATGAAGTTAACATGTAAACAAAAATATCCATAGTGGCATTGGCAGGCTATTAACCCAAAATGTGATTAGTACAACCAAGAAAGATATAGTCCAAAAAAAACTTCAGCTCTTACTTGAAATTCGGAATGTTGAGCAAACTTTCAAGAATTGGTCCATTGAACAGTTATTCTCAACGTTCCTATCAACATAAAAGCACATGAATG